ATCCCTAATGTTCTGTGATTCTGTGAATAGCTCAGTTTCCTTTAGAAACCCACATTTTTTTTAATTTTTTTTTTTTGGTATACGTGTCTTCCATATGGTTTAATTCAGAAATAACGTTAAATGCTGATCACCATGAGTGGATACAACGTTTGTGTTTTCAAGGATTTGCTTAGTTGGCTCAAAATAATAGAAAAGAGGAGGATGTTTAGGTTTACTAGACAGAATTTGTTTGTGGGGTTGATATAGTCCCCTGTTTTACATTTTTAAGTCTTTGAAAAAAATGCTTGATTCGTTAATTTAGCAGTAAGTAGTTTTTTTTCTTTGGAAGATAGTTTTACTACAAAACACTTCTCTAATATTTCCTTCAATCATGATAAAGACATTTTATCTGGTAGAGAGGCTCAGTGTTTCTAGTTCGATGCAGCCACTCAGATTAGAACTTAACTGTATTCTTAATTCACCACCAGATTTTGGGTTTTGTAACTGCTACTAAGTACTTAATGTGTTCTTTTAAGCTTTGTTTACACTACCAAGCTTTTTGTCTGCAGTAGTCCAGCTTGCAATAGGTAACAAGGCATGGCTGGGAGACATCATCTGTCATTACGTGCTAGCAGTGTACTTTACTGTTAGAGCTTGTTTTGATAGTACATGTGCCAATAGGATTTGCAGAACCTTGCAGCTGGGTGAGCTGTGGTTTTCAAGATTGATGTATTACATGATAGGAAGGATGCCTATCCTATTACAAGGAGTTTTTTGTTGTTGTTTTTTTCTGTTGTGCTTTTCATATCTCTTAATATTGTTTATCTGTTTTGAGGTTTAGAAATAATCAGTTTGCTGTGAATTCAGCATCACAAAGTCTGTCTTTGTAGTTAGCTTCCCTGCACTTCTCTTCACTGGTGGTCATAGGGTGTAAATGCAGGTAGTCACATGGAAAGAATCATAGACTACCAGGTTGGAAGGGACCACAAGAATCATCTAGTCCAAACTCTCAAGGTAAAAGTATAGTTTAAATGAGATGAGTCAGCACCCTGTCAAACTGACTTTTAAAACTGACCAATGTTGGGAATTTACCACTTCCCCTGGGAGAAAAGATCACTGTAATGGAAGATCACACTAATTATGCTGTAGTGGATTCTGCATACTTAGATGTTTTGCTGAGCATGATATCTGGGCATGGAAGCACCAGAAAACCTGCAAACACATGCAGTGCAGTGATAGCCACTGAACTTTTTCTATGGGGAACCAAGTTAATATAAATTGTGTACCAAGTTTGTGCCTGTTCTGTGTTAAAATCCAAAGATGAAAACAGGGCAGTTGAGAAGTGCCCCCATGAACTGAGCTGTTGGGGATTCTGTAAGTGAGGGTGATTATCGCTGTTCTCCAGAGTATGACATGCTTTTCAAGATGCATAGAGCACTTAACCCCTTGAGGACAATTTATCTGCAGGTATGCTATGGATGTGGCTTGTATGTTCTTTTTACCACTCATGTGGTCTCTCAGTATATCAAAGCTACATTTCAATAGTGGTGCACTTATAATTCAGTCACAGGGAGTAGTTCCTAACATCAAGAGTATGTGATTAGGCAAAGTGCATGCTACCATGTTTTCAAATGTGCTGGCCTGCTCCAAGAATTTTAAAATTACACTTTTTTCCTAAATTGCTAATAATTAATAATAATCTAATAATTAGTGGCATTCAATGCACTGTATGGGGCATTAGATCATTGGTATACTGTGAACAAAGGTTCTCTAAGACTATTATGCATTTTATTAGAGAGACATCTGAATTGCACTGTTCCCTTTGATCATCAGTTTTGGATGTGTGTGAAGTTTGCATAAGGACTTCGCATAAGGGTATTCTCCCAAAATACTCTTCCTGAGTTCTTGAGAACAACATAGGACTTGTGCCCCCATGTGTTCTCCTAGCCTTCAGGGATTTGCGGATGAGGAGCCTTCTTAATAAGCAAAGCTGGCAACTCTGTGTTCATGGGTTGTTTTTTTTGTTTGCCTATGATTTCTTTCCAGTTATGAAATGTATTTTGAACACCTTTCTGATGGAAGGAATATTTTTTTCAGGAGAACTCACAAATAAGTCATAGTACTATAGAGCTGGAAGCATGCTTAGGAGGCTATCTCGTTTCCCTAGGAAAAGATCAGCTATCTGTGTTTTGCTGCTGACAGTTTTCTAAAATTTTGAATCATGTCAGATCTCTTCAGAAAAATCTGTGCTAGTGATCTGCTGTCTTTACATTCAGAAAAAATTTCCAAATGTCTAATGTGGATCTTCCTGTTGCAGTCAAAATTGCTTCCCTCTTGTCCTTACTCCACAGGAACACGGATAACCAAGTCTTTTCTTTCTCTTTGCAGCAGCCTTCTGTGCATTTAAAGGCTTAAAGGCTTTTGTCATAGCAGGTTTACTCAGGCTTTCTGTATAGATAAATTTTCTTGAGCTGTGATTGTTTTTGGGGGGGTTCTGTGTAGTTTTTAACTTTTTTTCAGTTGGTCCAGATCTGTTTTGAAGAACATCATTCAGGTCCAGATATAGTACTTCTGTTGAAGTCTGTTAGTATTGAGTAAGGAAGGAATACTTTTGTCTTTCAGGTTATATTCTTGCCTATCTTGTGTCTCATTAGCCAACTCTATGGCTGTGTTATTGAAGGTATGCTTCTTAGCCTCCCACGTTGCATTTTGGTGGGGTTAGTTTGTTTTGTTTTCTTTTGTGGTTTATTGGGTTTTTTTCATGCTGAAGTGTTGGCCATCCTCGTGGCTGGAGTGCAGGTGGAAGTGTCAGACACTTTTTTCATTGGGCCGTCTCACAGAGCCTGCACCATATTTTTGATTTTGACCTTACTCTCCTGTGAGCATCTTTTTACCATCCAGCAGGTTTCAGCAAAGCCTTTTAATGTTTACCTTGACTCTGATATTATCTACTGCCACTTGTATGCTGAAGCAAACTGCAGTTTTTGCTGCTGTTTCTCAGGAGCTGAAGTGAAAGTGAGCTTGCGTTTTGTATTGATTTTGTCTCTGGCTTTGAAACTATTCACCAAAATAGCAAATGCGTGATATTGTAGAGTTTGTGCTGGTGAGTTAAGAGGAAAATAAGGCAGCAGAGGATTTGCATGTTTCAGGAAAATTGTGTTTCTCTGCTGCTAGATGTTTCATCTGCGTTCAATGCAGGCATTTGGTGATTTGGCAGTTGAGTAAGTTTCTCTTGATGAAACTTCTGTGTGTCAAGTGGGCCCAGGTCATATTAAGTGTATGTGCTACAATTGATACAATCAATTCACTGATACTCATGGTGAGTGGGATTTGTGAGAGCAAAAGAAGCTTGCAAATCATGTTTCCTTTAAAGCTACCTGTAACTTGCTTTATGTATCTTTTCTTCATATGTGTTTTATTCTTAGTCAGTTTCAAGAATTTAATCCTTTTAAATTAATTTTATTCAAACCTATTACATTCATTTCCAAATTAGAAAAATCATGTTCTAATTATTCCTAATGCTTAATTACATGTCCTCATAGCATTGCACAATTAGATTGTCCCTTTCTGTTTAATACATCTGAGAGTTGTAATGATGCATGAATTGTATTTTTCCAGAGTCTTTTAAACGGTATTCTGCAACCATACTTTTTGGATACTGTTGTTTTGTTCCTGCAAAGGTAGGTCATAATATTTTAGGCACACACTAGATGGCAGTGTGTACGAATGACTAATTATAAATGGTTGCAACCAAATGTATTCCAAACTGGTAAAAACCCCTTTCTTTTTAGAGAATTGTCCTAGATTTTTTTCATTACTGACTCACAGTTTGCCAGATAGCAAGTAATGCTCCAAATATATTTTTAATACCACAGCACAGATTTTTCTTACTCTTGTCTCTTTCCAAATGAAGCAGTGGATTTGCTTTCTGCTATATACACGTTTCCAGGGATGAAATCTGCAAAATGAAATAACACCGCCTGTCAACTTGTCATAGTTCCTTCTGAAAGTGTATATTGTATATGTCCTTTAAAACACAGATCATGATCTTTGAGCGGGAATTTAGTGATATAAATTACAATTGATCGTCACTTTTCAAGACAGATATTCTGCTAACCTATGAACTACATTTAATGGTAGTAGATCTTCATATTCTTACTCCAGGCTACTTTTTACATTTCCAAATCTATCTTTTTCAGGAGCTATATTAGCTTTTATGTTGGGGTTGTTCCATATCCCTCTGGACGATTGTGAAGAATTGTATCGCAAGTTAGGATCAGATGTTTTTAAGCAGAATGTCATTGTTGGAACAGTCAAAATGGGTTGGAACCATGCCTTTTATGACAGTGATATCTGGGAAAAAATGCTCAAGTAAGTGAAAAATGATCAGGTAAAAATTAATTACTATAATGTTTAAGAGCTTTTGGCTTTGTTATTGTTTCACTGGTAAGCAAATTCTTAAAACAACTAGAAAGGATTAGCATATACTCTCATTCTTTTGAAATAGCTGTTTTCATATTTACCAAAACATTGAAAGCCTTTAATGTAATGATTTCTGGGGAGTAAAGTAAGCTTTAGTGCACTGATTTCTGATTATATTCCTGTGTGCTTACCAGCTCTGCTTGATCTGACTCATTACAGATCTGCTGCAGATTTTACTAGCCACCTGCTGTGCCTTTTTTCTTATAGATGTGGTAAGAAATGAAATAATGTGCTGTAGTAGGGATTTTTATTCTTAGCTGCTATACTGAGAGGTTTTGCCCATTGCCCCTTTCTTTGAAAACAGAAATGAGCAGTAAGGATTGCAATAAAAAAAAAAATCTGTGCCAACGTTGCCAAGGGAATGGTAATTGTTCATACATGTGTATACAAATGCATTAATGACTATTCAGGAGAATTCGCTGGAATAAATTTTAATATTCATTACAAGTTTTATTACTTAGTTTTATGCAACTGTATTAGTAGTTCCATTGTTTATAATTTTTAGCAAACTGATGTTGTAGTTTCCCAAACAGTCTAAGCTGGTACTTCTACTGAAAGAACTGAAACAACTTACTCTGAGAGCAAATGTGAAATGGTAAAAAGCTTCTTTGGATAAGTAATGACAAGTTCTTTTGGGAACATGATTAATGTGTGTTACGGTATTGAAAGAGTCTTTTTCTAGACATTATAGTGGGAATACGTGTGCTGCCTGAGTTTTAAGCATTTTACTTCTTTGCTGAAGTGCAAACAGAGGCTTCCAAGCACTTCTCTGTGTTCTTGCATATTTTTAGGAATAAATGTGTTTATCAAATGAATATCATTAGTTTTTCTTCTCAGATATGTGGAATTCCTCCTTTTTTCAGAATTGACATTTTCTCTGCCTTCCCTCTTTTCCTCCCTGCCCAACTACAGGAAGTCTTGTGAAAATCAAAATTACCTTATGGAAAGTAATTTACATGCTTTTAATTAAAATGCTGTTATTCTTTGCAGCTACATGTAACACGTGAGGGAGGTAAAGCATTATACTCCTGTGCAGTGGACAGAAGCCAAGTAATTATTATATTATCCATAGATGAAATTAAAAATTAAATTTACTGATAAACAAATGACTTTTTGTAGACCTAATTCTGCAGTGTTGAAAGAGGCTATGCCTACGTAGCATTTTATTGAAACCACAGGGATTCCTGCAGGCCTCTTTGTGATGTGGAAGCCTACAGTAAGAAGGGAATTGAAAGCCTCATACATATATATATATATGCACATGCATAGCATCTCTTTATGACAATAGGAAGGTCAGGTCTAACTTTCAGTCATTGCATGGGGAAACTGCTGCATGTTTTGTTTTAAATTTAAAAACCTTATCTGTGCTGGTGGAGTTTTGTTTAAATGGTAGTAGGCTTGTCAGCCTTGCTTGAAATAGAGAGTATCCATTTACAATATACAGCTGTGCAGTACAGCCCTACCGCAATATTGATGGCATTGTTTTCTGTCAGAAAATATTCTTGCTGCAAATAATTAAGCTAATGTTGCATGCATTCATGAGGCGTATAAATTCTGTTTCAGAAAATGACAGCTAATTTTGATTAACTAACTTTTTATTCTGAGTGCTGTAGGAAATTGATTTTGTGTTGTACATACATGTTTAACTCTTCTTATATGTTCCTTGAATTGCAGTTTGAGGACTAGTTAACCCATTGCTATTAGAACTTTGTGAAGAAAATTATACTTAGTGTACATCAGTCTAGGTAATGCCATATTGAATTGCATTTGTACGAAGTACTTGTCTTATGGTTCCAACTCTTCTATTTTCTTTTGCCTGTTGTTTACATACACAATTTTCTTCTTTCCTACTGTCTTGAGAAACTACTGGAGAAGTTTGGTGAGCAGCTGGGGGTTTTTACAAGCTAACTAAAGTCCCTTACTTGCAATTTGTAATCTTGAGAAGCAAACAAGCACTGTATAGGGGGTATGGTAAAAGTTACATGTTCTCTGTTGGTAGGAAAATGGATAATGCATGTGTTTGGGATTACAAGTAATAATACTTCAAACTTGTATCTATTATGCAAATTGAAGTATAAATTGAGTCTGCTCTCCAGTGACTAAATGGGCAACACATTCTGTACCAGTTAGTCACTGCAGACATACTTAGCAGATTTTGCAGCTTTATCAGTGAGATATTCTGTATCTTTATGGAACACACAATAAAAGTCTCTCCTGTGGGTTTGGTAAAGATGTCACAGTTTCTTGGTACTCTTGCTGTTATTGTTGTTGTTAGAAGAGGGTAACAGTTACAAATTTGCCTTTTGAATCGAATACCCTTTCTCCAGACTATTTGATTGCACTCTGGCTGTAGCCCATTAGAATGTTTCTTTAAACATATGCTTGGCAATATGTTCTTCATAGCATTATTGAAATAAGTGTTGCAATATTATTGACTCGAAGCAATGAAAGAGCAGTATTTGTAAAGGAGACTTGTTTAGGTAGGTCATGTCTAGAGGACACTTGCAGACACAAAGCAAATAAATAGAAAAACAGGATGGCAAATTAAATTCTGCCTGAAGTAATAACTCATGAGGAAAAATGTAGAATGCTTACAGGATTTTAACTTTAATATCGAAAGTGATTTGGGTGTTGTCATGGGCAATTCAGTGAAACATCTGTATGCTGCTTGTGGTAAAACAATTATTCACTGTGTGATCGTTGGGATTGAAAATACAGAAAATATTACAATGCTCTTTTATTAATCTATAATACAGTTTCATCTGAAATACCATTTACAGGACTAGTTACCCCATTTTAGAGAATGCTTCTGTTGCAAGATTGGTAAAAAGTAGCCAGTGACCTAAAGACAACTCTCACAAAGGGATTAGGATGCTTTATTGTTAAAAAAAAAAAAAAGGAAACAAGTTAAAGCAGTAATTTGAGATACTAAGATATCTTGAATTACTCTTCTCATCTTTTCCTGAAGAAGAAGGGGACTATTCAATAAAACTAAAATTAGGAGCTTTTCTCTTTTAACACAGTTTGTGAATAAATGGAATTAGTTGTGTTGTGACTTTTGTAAAGAAAATAATTGAACAGTGAGGCTTGACAAAGACATTTATATAATACACAATTACAGTATTAATGCTAGCAACAAAACTAAGATAATTTTGGAGGTGATATTAAAGTTTTATCTTTAGACTTTAATGTCTAAAGTTGCATTGTAGTTTAAGGGATTTCTTATACCTACTGTGAAGCATCATTTCCTGGCCTTCATAAGAAACAAGATGTGAGAAAATAATTATTCAGTTCGACTGTTCCTGTAATTAAGTAGTGGATATTGCTGATGTAGTTTTTAAATCTTAGCATTCAGAGTTCTGGGAAAAATACCTTATACAGATATTTAGGAAGAAGTAAATGGAAGTGATGCAAATCTGCAGATGTGTCTCAATCTCACCTCTGTCAATCTCATCTTTTATTTCTTAATATTCCACCTCATGGTTCTGTGTGCCTCCATCTCCTTCTGTAATCTATTAGTGAGTGTAGATAGCACTCTTCCCCTTCTGGTTGGCAGTTATGAGACTGGAATTAATGCATTTGATGGAAAAAAGAAAGTAAAACAGTGCTATTGACATAAGAATTGTGTCAGCAGCAGTCTTCAATCATAGCACTCGAAGCTGTCCTCCTTTCTTCCTCTCAGGGAGACATACACAGCCATCCTTTGAGCACAGATATCCACTAGTGGAACAGTAAATTGTCCTATCTTCAAATATAGTTTGCTGTCTCCATTGAGGATTACTGCTTTTGTAGCATTTAAAGCTTCTTTTGCCTTCTGACCCAAGTAGGTTGATAAAGGTGTTGTTTTTAACAGTGGAAGTGCAACTACCTACTGTCACAGTAGTGGAAGCTATAGATGGATCATCCCTTAACAACACCACATGGAATCACCTTACTTAAAAGTGTGGGGCAATACTGAAAATCATCCTTGCAAGATAAGGGGGATGCATCGCCTGTGTTTGTGTGGGCTGTGTTCAATTGAAGGATGGAAACTTGCTGATTTAAATGAAAGCCTGTTTGGAATCGTTATGGATGAGCACCCACTCTGCAGAATTTTATACCTTTATTGTAAGCAAGTTGAAGTTGAATTAGATGCTGATACAAGATTATTGGCTAGTATGCTGGTATATTCCAGTCTCCTGCACTATGCAGGAGGGCTACCTTCTAGTTAGCAATTAGAATACTGACCCTAATGCTGTTGTGATGATAAATTACAATGCTGACTATTTGTGTGATTTCACTGTCAGATTTATGAAAATGTATGCACATGAAAAAATTACACCTGAAAAATGCATTTAATAATGAATTATTGCTGTGGAAGATTACGTGTAGATACTTTAACTCTCTTCTAAATCATGTAGGATGGTGTCTTTCTTTTCTTAGCTTTTGTTTTCATAACAGTTCAGGAAAGTAATTTTTATTGCTGTAAAACTGCTTGATAAAGATGCTGATTTTTTTATTCTTAAATGCATCAAAGTACTTAATTTTTCCTCTCACAAAGTAATCCTGCTGATCTGTGGTTAAATATGTGGTGAAGTGAGTAACTGATTCAAGACTTCAGTCACAATTCAGACTAATTTCCAACAGCCTAGAAGGTTTGAAATATTGGTCCATTGAAGACAACTGTAGAAATCTAATCATTAAAGTTAAATCCAAGCATTGCTTCTTTTAAATGCAAAGTTTTCGGAAATAAGAATGACAAAAATGTCTTTTGTTCCTGCTAAACTGATGGAGCTTTTTTAATTTGTAGAAAAAAAAAAAATGGGCTCAAATCTTATGATTGAAACTGCAAGGAATTCCAATTGTCCAAAGGTAAGTACAGTTTTCTAAGGTAAATGCTAATTGTGTATTCCACAAGTACTTTTAGGAGTTCTGAGTAAGAGTACTATTGCTACAAGGATATTGGATAACCCATGCTTTCATAGGATAAAAATTCATTAGATTCTTAAATTTCTGCAGCAATTTCTCCTATTTTAATCAATACTTTAAGTTAGATATGTTTCAGAGATGTTAAAAGGCTTATAAGCAGAGAATTACTTAGGACAACTTCTTGAGGTTGTGCAAAGCTTGTTTTTTGTCATGTAAGAGAATTATAGTATCTGGAGATCCTGTCATGTCAACTGTGATCTCTGTTGTGTAGTGAGAGGGTTTCTCTTCACTCTGTCTGGATTACCAGGTTTTCTCCAGTCACATTGATAGACCCCAAGATCTCTACTCTTCCTGTATGATCTAAAGGGTACCAATTAATTGGAGGGGTGTTATATACAGCAGCAGCACAAGAGTGAAAGATGAGAAAGCATGGGTATTTTATTTTTGGTGAAGGATAGGGTGTGAAGAAAGAAGAGAAATATAATAGGACGTATTTCAGAACAATCTGTAATTAACAGGTGTTTTGGTGTCATAGCACTATATTCAATGCTTTACTGTTAAATGGAAGATATTCATAGAAACGTGCTTGACTGATGGCGTTCCTAGTCTATGTCTAAAACAAGGACATGAAAAGGCCAGACTGGTATGCTGCTTTCTGAGAGAGCAGCTATCCTACATTGACTTGAAAGTTATCTTTGAACTAGGATCTTTGGCTTCCTTCCATGTTCTTCAGCAATAAAATGTAAGTATAATTAGAATTGAAACTAGCTATTCCCAGTAATAGCTTTGTAGTGCTGGCAGTGGTGGCACTCTTTACAAGGCAAAGCAAAACCAAAATAAAACACACAGTTGTGTGCTCTCTGCTGTTAAATTCATGGTGAGATGGATTTTTCCAGAAGGTGCTCGGCACTTTACAACTTAGACCACATCATGAAGTGGAAGCATATATGGGTATTACCAAAAGTAAATTCAAGCATTGGTTTGATTAATTTTCTTTTAAATTTTCCAACTTTTTTTTTCTTACTGCTTCTAGTAGTGCTTAAAACCAAACTTTCCTTTTGACAAAAACAGGAAGCTTTTCTTCCATCAAATGATGGAGTACAAGTCATGCATGCGTTTTGCTTCTGCGTTCTCGTGTAGAAGTTATGCTTCTCTTGTTTCCTTCTGTATAAGGGTGGACTTACTGTGAATTAAATTATTTAACTTATGTAGCTGAAGTGTGGAAATGAATACAGTGATATCGCAGCATCATCAGCTGCTAGTGCCGTTCAGTAATGTTTCACAAAAACATGCTACTCTGTAGAATAATAAAATGGAATGGAATGCCCACTTGTCTGCTGGAGAGAATTGCTCTGAACAAGCCCTGCCAGGCTGGGTGCATCGTCACTAAAAGGTCTTGCACATTGGAACACTCACCCGTAACTACAGATACTCGCACCTTGAGTGATTGGCTGAGATTTGATTTATTTTTTCTTTTGCAGTCTTATGTTTTGTTGTCTAGAAATACCATTTTGGCTTTTCACTTAGATTTATGTATGTGAGTTTATGTTAACAACATTTCAGTGTCCTTATAAAAACCCTTGGAAGATTTATAGTTGATCTTTTGTTTTTTCCTTTGGGAGAGATTCTTCCTTCAATCTTCTAACTCAGGTTGCAATATTAAGTCGTCATTTTCTTGGAGAAAGAATTTGGTTGATGTTTCTAACATTTGTGTTTAATAGCATTGTTGCATTGCTGGTTACAGGCTTTGCAGAATGAACTACTATTCATAAAAGCAAAACATCTTAAAATCATATAGGTAACACCAGCTTTTTATATAAATATCAATGGATAGATATTGGTAGAAAGAGAATAGATAGTGAAAACAATTTCAGGTTAAAAACAGCATTTTCTTTAGGGAGTTCGGGGGTTTTGTTTTGATTTTTTTAATTTTTTTTTTTTACTTTTGCTTTTTAAAATTTAGGTAATTTTAAAAAGTAAAAAAGTAATTGAGTAGAATTCCAGAGACACGTTTAATGTATAAATTGAATTTCATATTGTGGGTAGTTTTCATTTGCTACTGTTATTATCATGTATAACTATTTTTGTTCTTCCTCACTCACTAGGTAGCTGCAGTAAGCACCATTGTAAACAGAGGAACACCACTGAAAGCATTTGTTTTTAGAAACTACAACCACTTTCCTGGTGTTAAGTCTCATTATATTGGAGGCTGTCAGTATAAACTGTGGCAGGCCATCAGAGCATCATCTGCTGCACCAGGCTACTTTCAGGAATATGTTCTTGGCAACGATCTTCACCAGGTAAGTTGAAATCTTCTCCTTTAGTAAATATTTTTCAATATTATACCTGAGAAAAAAGTTGTCTGAATTTCTGAATCAGGACTAAGCAAATAAGTTGGTAGCAAAAAGACAATCTAGGACAGGTAGTGGTAAGAAAGGAAATTTTTATCTTGTATAACGCTTACAGAACTAGAAAGGGTATAGGCTTAAAAGTCTTAGTCTTCTCAATGCAAACTTAAGCTCTTCTGCTGTTCCTTTCTTCTCTGTCTGGAAGGAAACCTTATATGAGTTGAAAATTGCTTCTGACTTCCTGCTTACAATTGGTATTTCATTGAGCATTATTTCACTGAGCAGATGGTATGACTTAAAACCTAACTTACTGTGAAGTGTGAAAAAAATCAAGTCAGGCATTTCAGTTTTCCTTTTATTGGCACATCATTTCAGTTTACAGTCTACTTTTAATTCTTGCCATTGATAGCTATTAAGCTCTACCCTGGTTCTAAGCTAGTAAAAAGAATAAGAGATGCCACGGCAGTAAGATTAAACTCAGAGGACAACTGCAAGAGAAATTCCTGTGAGAATAAAGCAATGTCTCCTATCAACAGTGTGCGCTTTTTTTATTGTATTATAGCTTCTGTTGGTGACCCTGGTTAGTAAAGAGCAAGGCAAATTAATTTCTTTAGTAGTTCTGTAACTGTTGTATTCATGTCCTCAGTGCCCCTTTTTTGATCTGCAGTTCTCCAAGTTTCAAAAGCACCCTTTTTACAGGACATACTAATTTAAAACTATTAGCATTTGTTTTTTTAAAATATTTGTTGCGGTTCCGTGGCAGAAAGGACTACAAAGGGTGACTGAATCTGAGACATTCAAAGACAGCCCAGGATTCTGTCACTTAAATTTAAAGAAAGCATCTGTTACATTTCCATCACATTAATTCATGTGATGGCATTAGTCTTAACTACTAGAAAACAAGAATAGCATCTTTTAAGTAATAAGATGTACCTGGATCTCACACAGAGTTTCTCATGGTACCCATTAAAAAGCTGTATAATCTTAGGTTTTGGGGTTTTTGAAGCTACAAATGGAGTAACACATCAGATATTCCAAGCCTATAAGCACTGCTTGAAATCCTGAAACACGGTCATCTTCCATCTGGCCAAGCAAAGCTGGAAAGGGAGCTGCTTTAGCCTTTGGAGCTGTTCCAAGCTGCTCCTTAACTGCTTGAATGGGTCAGCGTTAAGCTATGTGCAGCACTCTTCTTCCTCTTCTCACCTTTCCACCCCCTCTTTCCTTGAATTGAGAGTACATCAAAGTCTGTCTGTGCTTCTGTGTGAAGAATAGCTAAATAAAAAACATGTTTTAAACTTCTACGTAGTGCTTAGGCAATTGTTTCCTTGTTTCTGAATTGCCAGGCTTGCGTGAAATGCAGTAAGGTGGATATTAATTTCATCTCTATTTACTTTTAAGTTCAATTTACCAGACTAGAGAATGTGTGATTAGTGTTAGAGATCAGATGCAGTATTCTCAGACACACAGCTAGAATGAAGACAAGTTAATTTTTCCTTACTCCAGACTTTTTGGACAAAGCCTTTCCATATGATCTTACAAACACTGCTTCACAAACTCTCCATTCTTTTCTATTTGATGTATTTTAATTACTAGAAAGCAAGGGCTTAGGATGTGGTTTATCTTTGTTAGCCATAAAGGACAAAAAATGTCATCAGTACTAGAACTGTTCCTTGTAGTAGAGCTAGACGCTAAATTTTCTGACTTAAACCTTCATGTAATCTGAAAATTCCTCTTTTACCCAGGCATGATAGTTAAACACTTTTGAATTCTTTTAGAATCCAAAGGTTGTCATCTCTCATGCTTTTCTTTCCCAAGATTACACTTTTCTTACCACATCTCTATTTCCATAATTACCTACTTTCTGTGGGATGCTCTTGGGTATTTTTGTGGACAGCTGACTAGCAAGGTGCTACATGGCAAATGCCCCATAACTCTCTTCATGCAGATTTGTTTCCAATTATAAATCCACCACTGCACACTCAAGCTACCCTAAATTACCTTGTTTTAACCCTGGAGTAAGAGCCTCCATGGATGTAGCAGACTGTTTCCTTTATGTTCATGAGTGTAATGGTACCTCAGTGGAAAATGCAAGGTAATCAAGAGTTTTATCTCTAAAGTTGAACTGAAAAAAATACATATGCATAAATATGATTTAAAAAGTAGAATCCTAAATGCAGTTATATTCTGTTTAAAATAGCTTTGTGATTATTTTTAAAGTATGTTAATAACTGAGTCCTTAGTTATAGCTCACATAAAAAATATGAGATAGTAGATTTTTAAGTGCCTTTACTCTGAAAGTGCACTGCAGTTGTCATTTTAAGTTCACTGACCAGGCCATGTACGATAGTGATTGCATTTGTAGTTTGTATGGAAATACTTGCTCTTTTCTGTCTTACTCTACTTTAAGCTTATACACTATGTAACAGCTTGGGCTGCTTTTGAACTGCAGAAATAAATGAAGCATAATGTTGTTAGACCTTCTTAATAGTACTATGATTTCTGTAAAGTACATGAGCACAGTGTGCATTACTTGTAAATAATAATTGATGCCAAAGGCTTCAGTATTGTGTATGCAGTACAATGCAGAAGGATGATGCTCTTTTGAGGATTTTTTCTTCTTTTAATGGATTGGAAACTTCCATTAATTAATCAACCTAATCTCTTTTCTGAACATAAACCATAATTTACATATAATCTGCTTCTGCAGTGTTGATATTTCTAGATAATTCTAAGAATAGAGATGGCCAAAATGTGAAAATTATTGTAAAATGTCTGTGGAAATTCAGAATATTAAATATAATGGGATTTCTTTCCTGGCTTTGAAGTTTGGGACCCTAAAGGATTATATATGGAGACCAGGTTTCGTATTCGCTTATCAGTCAGTTGTACATTTAAATATGAATGAAAAGCACTTATGACTCTTCAAATGTGTGAAAATACTTACTTTGATAATGAAAATTTAGCAGATATTTTTTTATGGTCAACCTGCATATTCTTGTTTTATGTTATCTAGCTTTTGTTGAAATTGGAGTCCTTTTGTAAACTGTGTGAAGTAGTTGAATAAGAGTTATGTGCAAGGTTGAGATTAATTCGTAAAGGTTTCATGTATTACTCTAGACCTATATGCTGGAATCACTGCTGAAGTCCACTGTAGCTGGTCACTTTAACTCTCACTTTTCTATAATACATATATTTATATATGCATGTGTATTTGTGTTCACAACTGCGTGCTCTTTCTCTGGGAACATTCCAGTGTGACTTCCTGTGCTTGTCACTGTAAATGTTCGAGGGGATTGTAAAGTGTCTTAATTTATTAATAGAGTAATGAGTTATTTTTGCAATTCTTCTGATGCAATTGTTTAGAAAGAGATTTCTGGGTGCCTGAACATTTATTCTGATTTGTGCTGCAGGTCAGCTGATGCCAGTTTTGTTAAATTTTTGCAGAATGTAAGCAGTTCAAAACCGAACAGCAATATTTACATTCAGGTCAATCATGCCATGCTATCTGGTTCCACTCTGCCAAGTAGGAAGAAACAGTGCAGCTGTTGGAAGATGGGGGGAGAGGGATTAATATTCTTTGTGGTTCAAAAGAGGAACACATTAACATTCAAAGGGATTTAATCCCTGTAACATGCTTCTGCAGGAACTGTGCAAGTCAAGAGAGACCAAGTCATGATGTTACAATATAGAAGCTGTATTGCCACATATGTCAGCTTTTTTAAATATTAAAGTTGATTTATGAAGCACTGAGGGTCTCTTAACCTCTCTGCAGTCCTGTTACAACCAGTGAGTTTTTTTCCTCCTTCCCATGAAGGGGGATTGTTCTTACATACATACTTAACCTCTTTTTTTTTCTTTTTCTTTTATTCTTTCCCCTGTAGTGTGAAAAGCATTTGGGGTACTCAATAATGTCACTTCAGTACACAGTACAGTAGGCTGAGGAAATTGCCAATTAAAAGAGCAATATAAGATTTAAGAAAATTATACACACTTCATTTACCAGGTTTTACAGCAAAAACTAAACTTGTCCCACAGGATTAATTAGAAGGGCAGCAGGGCTTTTGTGTGTGTGGTGGTGGTGAGTTTAAGTCACAGATTTTTCTCAAAATAAAATATGATCAATTTAATTCAAAGGACTTGATCAACTTTTTCTTGATTTGCTTCCTATTATTTCATTGCTGCAATACAGTTCCATTTATTAAAATGCCGGTGGTGACTTATAGTAGTGTTCAAATAATTGTATTTTCTTTGAGCAAGATCAGATACTAACACAGTTAAATTGGCAGCTACTCTGTTAGCGGAGTTTTAATAATGCGGGTGTAATAGGATGTGCGGTGAGAGCACAACCTAGAAATGTGAAATACGTATAGTACAATAATATGATGTAACTAAAATTTCAAGTCTCATCTTCATTAAAATAAGATAATGCACAGCTCTTTTGTATTTTCAAGCTTTTCCCTTTCTGTGGTTAGGCAGTAAACCTGTGAAGCCATTTAATCTTTGTAGCTTGTTACAGGAGAGGCCTTCAAAAGTGATTCGCTTAGTGGATCCTACCCTAATTGGTTTTACACGGTAGCTTTTAAAATTAGATTCAAGGATGCTTCCCAGGCTCTAAGAAGACATAGAATATAGGTCACATTGAAGTTCTTCTCATTCTTAGGATACGCCATGGTGATCAGTATGCACCAGAGCTTATGCAGACTGCACTTTAGTAGGTGTATCTTGTTCTCACAATGATAGAAACAAATATTTCTTTGTTTCTCTGTCTCCTTGTTACCATACACATTTTCCTACAGCCTTGAAGGCAATGTTGCCTGCTGTTTAAGAAGAGGAAATTTACTGGAATGTGTTAACTACATGGATGTGTTCATTTCCTTTTCTCTTATGGGTTCAAGAGGTTTGGTTACCAGGTCTTAAGGTGGATGTGTATGATGCGGTTTACCAGCCTTTGT